AAACTCAGTATTTTTTACGAAAATAAAATCATGTCTGACAATTATTTTTAAAGATTTTTTTTAACGATTCTACATCTAAGTTGAGTGGAAGATTAACAGGAAGCAGCGAATTGATTTATATGTGTCAATTCAGGTTGCACACTGCAATTTATGGGGTGCTGATGGGGTCAGTGCTGGTGCCTCAACTGTTTACAATCTATGTTGGTGACTTTGAAGAGTCTATATGCATTGCAGCCAAACTTGCTGATAACACAAAGATACTTAGAATAGCAAAATATGAGCAGGATACTGAGTCTTCCAAGGGATATTGATAGGATAAGTGAGCAGCAAAAAAATTGACAGGTGTAGTACATTTGGGAAAATGTGAAGTTTTCCAATTTGGCAGGAAGGACAGAAATGCATTGTAATATTTCAATAAAGTGAGACAGTTGAATACTGATATACAGAGGGACCTTGTTGATTTCATATATGACTCACAGAAATTTAGCATGCAGGGATGACAAGTAGTTAGAAAGGTAAATGGGATGTTGCCTTTTATTATGAGGGATTGTAATATGAAAGAAGGGAAATCTTACTACAGCTGTACAGAGCAATGGTGAAACTGCAGGCAGATGTTCCTCTCACTTAAGGAGGGATATACTTGCATTGATGGCATTTACTTGAGCCCTGGCTTTCTTATAAGCAAAGGTGGAGAGGTGGAAACTAAGCTCATTAGAGTTTAGAAGACTGAGCTGATCTTATTGAAACATACAGGATTCAGATAGGGCTTGACAATTTATTGTTAAAAGATGTTTCACCCCTGATAGAATCTAGGAAATAGGGGATACAGTTTTAAAATGAGGGGTTTGCAATTTAAGTTGGAAATGAGGATGAATTTCTTTTGAGAGGGTGAAAGCTTTGGTATATTCTGCCCCAAAGAGTCATGGAACCTGCTCATTGAATATTTTCAATGCTGTGCTGCATAGATTTTTGATCTACAGGGGAGTGGAGGGTTATGGGTAAAAGGCAGGAGAGTGAAGCCAAGGCCATGATCAGCTCAACTATGATTTTCTTGAATAATGGAGGAGTCTGGACGAAGCTCCTGGGCTACTTCTGCTCCTATTTCTTGTGGGATAGTTGGAGAGGTTTAGATGGTTTCTAAAGATTTGGAACATCAAATAATAGGCTGTTTATAGTCAGAAAGTATGTACAGTGATTTTCTAAACTGGATCAGTTAGATGTGTTAACAGTATAAAGTAAGGAAAATACCGATTTTTTTTGTCGGTGATTAGCAACGGGATATAGTATTGAACTTATTTTTATATTTATTTTCATTCTGTATTGCAGGTTTGCCTTGTGCCCTTGCCTTTCTACCTAAAGTTATGGATGCATTATCATGTACCTAGGAGCATAGTAATGATTAGGCCATTTAGTTCCTTGAACCTATTCTGTCATTCAGCAAAATCATGGTTGATCTTACTCCATTTACCCTGTTAGTCCCATTTCCAATACACTCTTAGTTAACACAAAACTATAAATCTCAGATTTAAAGTTAACAATTGATCTCAGTTTAATGGCTGCTGTGGAAGTGAATTCAATAGAATATAGAATGGGCCCCTCGGTGCACGATGTTGTGCCAACCTATTATCCTACTGTAAGGTCAAACTAACCTGCATACCCTTCATTTTACTATCATCCAGGTGCCTATCCAAGAGTCACTTAAATGTCCCTAATGTATCTGACATAACTAATCAATTCTTTGAGATTATGAAGTGTTTCCTATTTTGATTCTTAAGAAGTGTGCCCCCTAGTCTTTAGACTCCCCAGCATTTCACTCTGTGCACCCTTCCTGTTCCCCTTCCAAAATTCCAAGAGTACCCCCCTAGTTTGTGTAATTTCTCCTTCTATTTCAACATGTGAACTGCAGCTATCTTTATTAAACCTACCTTGCGTTTCCTCCAAGGCCAGGATATTTTTCCTGAACTGTGATGCTCAACAGCTCATAGTATGAATCAGATCTTTGTGTAGTTGAAGCATGACTTCTATCCCACCCCCACTTTTGTATTTCTATTCATCTAGATAAAAAAGCCAGGATGCAATTTCCTTTCACTTACAGGGCTTGCTCTTGACATTTAAATAATATATGCATCCAGGACTCAGCTTTCCTTCTAATTTCAGTTTGTTGTGCTATGAGGGCCTTTGATGGATGGATTGGAGTCAGGCATTTGTGCAGGCTGTTTGTTCCCTGTGGAGTACATTGCTTGTGTGTCCATGTAGGTTGTGGAAAGATTACCTGGACCTTTAGAACACAGTCTTCAAGACTCTTTGGACCTCTAATGTTTCTATATATTCAAAATTTAAAAAGTTCCCCATTCAATCCTTTTTAGATCCACTATGGATGACCTCGCTTTTGCCTGTCACCATCCATTTGCTAGTTTTGCCCATTCATTTAATCCAGCAATATCTCTTTGCTTGCTTTCATCTACATTGTTTGCAATGTTGTTTATCTTTGTGTTGCCAACAAATTTGGATATGTGACTTTCTATCCCATTAACTAAATCATTAATAACTCTGTCAAGTAGTTGAGGTACGAAAATAGTCTCTCTTTCTTGTTAGATTACCTGTTTATTAACCCTATTTCCCACAACCAATTTCCTAACCTGGTTAACAACGTATCTTCAAGTCTGTTTTAGCTAATAGTCTCTTAAAGCATTAGGACTCACTTGGGTAGCATGCTGGAAATTGAGCCCTGCTATGATTTTATGAAGTGTGCAAAGTTCCCAACATACCTGAGTTTCAGAATCTTGGGTTGGTAGAAAACATAGATCAAGTTCCTGCACTGGTACCAGTGAGCTGAAGCTAACTGAGCTGCAAACATGTACAGCAGATGATGTGTTTATTCTGGTCTCAATGGCATGCAGAAGCTCCAAATGATGCATCGGCTGTTCTGCCATTAATATGTTTTAATTAATTACTTAATTTTGTAAAATAATTATTTATTTTTTGTGTATTTTATTAACCTTGCCACCAAGTCCAATCTATTTCAATCTTTGTCATAGAATATTACTAACTACTGAACAGATACATATCAAATAGCTAGTTTTTTGTTCCTGTAATAGGGTAAGACTACACTTGTAAATAAGTACATCAAGTAGCTGAGGCACCAAACAAATAATCTCTTGCTTGTTAGAGTACCTGCTTATTAACCTACAGAGTGAAAAATATTAAGAAAAAAAATTTCTGAAGAAGGGTCCTGACCCGAAATGTCTGCTCCTGTGATGCTGCCTGGCCTGCTGTGTTCCTCCAGCTCCACACTGTGTTATCTCTGACTCCAGCATCGGCAGTTCTTACTATCTCAAAGCAAAGGAGTACCTCCTTACCCTAACTCTCATACATCCCTTACCCACCCAACTAATAGGATTCTGTTCAAAGTCGCACTGTATTTATATACTTTTGAAAGTAAAGGGTTAGCTGACACCAGTTGGAGAAAGACCAATTTTAGGTGCTTTCCTTAATTAACCAACTTCAGCAGCTTTTCCAGCTTAGACCATGTAAAACCCTGTTTATTGCTAGAAAAAATTAGAAATAAACAGTAGTTTTCAGTTCAGTGTTAAATGCAACTAACATTAGATTTTTACATAGAGTTTAAGATTCCCTTACCCACCCAACTGCCAACACCTTCAAAACAAGTCTGTGTAATATCATCCTTTCACTTTGGGCTAGATGTTCATCGATTTAATGATGCCTGTGTAAAGCATATTTTGGAGATTTTCTAATTGAACATAAAATATAGACATGTAAATAAAAACTGTTATTCTTTAGGATCTGGTCACGGGCATTGTGCATTTTCCCCCTAGATTTCCTCTCTCACGCCCCTCCTGTCTCTCAATAAGACAAAGTCATTCAACAGGCTTGCTATATTTTACTGATAGACATTCTAAAGTCAAAGTAAAAAGGCTGTACAGACACTGGTTATAACCTGACTGGACATGAAAGCTAGAGCTTTCAGCTTACACCAGTGACATGTTTCTCTTGATTGTACATGCAGTGGACATCCAGGTTTCAGTGAATGTGTTTACTGGTGTTACAGACCATGTGCTGTGGCGTTTAAAAACTTGTGTAACCTGATTATTGACTCCTTTCTGTTGAAGCTTCAGCAATTCATCTGAGCCATTGACCACATATATGGGCAAACTTTGCTGAATCCCACAGAAGAATTCTGACTCACGAACTGATTGTAGTTGGAGGAGAAAAACACATCAACTTGTCAAATTTGCTCTGTTTGATTTCCTGTCTGGGAGGATATGACTCTGTGCTTCTGCACTGGCTAGTCCTCTTGGTATCTCTCTCAGGATTTTCTGTTAAATTCCATAGGGGTGTCATGTCGGCACAGTGGTTAGCACTGCTGCCTCACAGCGCTAGGGAGAACCAAGTTTGATTCAACCCTCAGGTGACTGTCTGTCTGGAGTTTGCACATTCTCCCTGTGTCTGTGTGGATTTCCGCCTGGTGCTCCAGTTTCCTCCCACAGTCCAAGGATGTGCAGTTTAGGTGGCTTGGCCAGACTAAATTGCCTCGTAGTGTCCAGGGATGTGCAGGCTAGGGTGGGTTAGCTGTGGGAAATGTGAGGTTGCGGGGATGGGCATGTGTGATGTTCTTCAGAAGGTTGGTGCAGACTTAATGGGCCAAATGGCCTCTATCTGCATTTTAGGGATTCTGAGAAAAGTAAATTGAGTTTTTCTGGGCAGGCAGCAGGTATCCATTCTCCGATGAGGAGAACAAAGTAACTTACCTTAAAAAGTTACTTTCTACCCAAGATCTTAGATCATTATTGCATCACGACTTTAAATTTGATTTTGTTTTTTTTTCTTTTAAATTGTGTTCACTGCTGTTAAATTTCTTATTGACTGAGGTTTTTCTTTTCAGAGCCAATGTTGTCATTATTCCTCTGATATTTACAAAGCTTACCAGTATTTCATGCTGTCATTTGTATTTAGTTATTTACTTTTATTTTTATCTTTAGAGTTGAGCTCAACTGTTCTTCCACACTATGAGGAGGTTGGCATATGTTTTAAGCAGTTGGAAGTTGAAGCCAGTAAGCTGACTGGACAGTGGCCCTCATTACATATCAACATGAATAACAAGGTAATTCATTATATTGTAACTTTAGCTATTTTATTCATTTCTTGCTAACTTATATGAGTTGTTCTTAATTATTTATTTCCCTGCAGCTAATATAGTATTTCCATACCTCAATCGATCAACTGAGCACTTTATTCATGAGCTTTCTACACCCACCCAGGGATAGGGATATACAATGATTGATTTGGTCTTTATTTTTTCATTAGTCATGTTTCATGCATAACAGTAATTAAACTGCACAAGTCCAAACTCGCACAGGAATAATTACATTTCAAAACAAATTTAATCTCCTATTGTGGGCTTTGAGATACAAACCCTTGGAGATTAATAACATTGAAAGTAAACGTAACAGTTTCAGTTGATGAACTGAGAAGTAATAAATGGTCATTTGATAGTACAGAAATTGAGTATTGTTGGAAAAAACACACTTTGTTAAAGCTTTTGTCTCATTAGGACAATTTGCAAAAGTACCAATAAAGGTGAAAAACAACATTTATACATGTATGAGAGGAGAGTGTTGATTGGTTGGCAGTTGGACTCTGGTAGAGATGTTGCCATGAAGTGCACACCAATTAGTGCCAGGCTCTTGTTAAAGTTTAAACTAGCAGGTTGACTCTGATGATCAGAACATTGCCTTGAGAAATGAACCGAAGAATGGCTATCACCTATTTTATGGAGTGGAAACAGAAACAGTGCTTGCACTTCTGCACAGTGCCCTGTGCATTAATATATGTAGCTTCCAATACACACAAGTGTAGTCACTATGAGCCCAACTGACAATCCTAAATTGGTTGTCAGTATAATACTTAAAGATTCCTCAAGATTATCCAGTTTCAGAATCACATCTGATGTGGGACACTATTGTGAGTTTCACAGCACAGTACAGTCAGAACCTTGATGGTTGCAATTAACCAGAGGGAAAAGCTGTTTGATACAATCTGCCAGTCTTTAGGACACGAGGCCTACATTCCTGGCATCACATTGGCACTGAAATTCATATACCATGTTACTCATTTGTGTCATAGGGAGAATTTTTTTTTGGCTTGACAGCAGTATCCTGTTATTTGAATACCACTGTTGTTGGTTCTGCACAGTAGCAGAGTGAAACAGCTCAGTTCACCTGATTCTCACACATTTAAGACACAATCCAGGGTAAACTGGGCACTTTTTCACGATCAAGAAATAATCGCCTCTGGATGTTACATTTATGAATATGCAGGGTGCTGTTATTTGCAACCAAAAAGAGCATGTACATGCACTGCCTGTTTTAACTCAACAAAATAAGTTACACCCATTTACTGGTTAATTTATCAGGTCAATCCCTGATCAGCAGAGTCAACCTGCCTAGTTTAAAATCTTAAAATCATCAGTTGTTGCATTTGCCAAGACAATGCCTCTACCAATCAGAATCCATTTGCGAACAAGCCAGCGCTCTCCTCTTCAACTATATCAAGGTTTGTTTTTCCCTTTATCAGTGTTCCTATGAATTAACCTGATGAGTGTAAGATGATAAGCTTCTACCAGATGTGTTTTTTTTTTAGCAATTCTCAAATAAAAAAAGGACGTTTATGTAGTCAAATGTAACCTATAACATGCAATCAGAATGTCCCTAAACCAAGATAGAAAAAATATTATGGGCAGAATCTTTCGGGGGTTTGATGTGGCTGTGGGGTGATTTGTGGCAGAAATGTGTGAAAAGTCTTGCGAGACCCACCTTGACATCAGGAGCATCTCACACCACCTTTTGTTTTTGAGGAACAGTGAGGCAATTTTTTCAGGGAGTTCTCAATTAAAGGGGATTATGCTTAAACGCCTTATTGACTCCCCAACTCATTAGCAATTCATCTTCCTTTATATTACCAAGCACGACAAGGAAACTACATGTCAATAAATCTCAACATGGAAATAGAATAAACAACTGGCAACTTCAGTTCTTCACTTGCTCTGAAGGGCATCTATTTTAGACAGTGGGTACCAACATCTTACCCCATGCCCACAGACATTCGCATCCGACATGTGACGTGTTTCATGGCACATCTCCGAACCACTTACAAGATACTTCTGCACTTCAGTGCTTGGTACTCACTCACTCAGCCTATCTGGTTGCTCGTGGCATTCCTGCTTTGCATTGTATTGCTTTCCTTTTTTTATGCATTGTCCCCTCAGTCAGAGATACCAAGCTCAAATTACTTCTGTCTAGCCATGCAGTTTAGCGCAGACAGAAAGCCAGTAAACTTGTCACAGTTGTTAGCAGGCCACAGTCAAGGGGCACAGCGTTTCCACAGAGGGTCTGAGCAAAGGAAGTCAAGGGAAGTTCCGATATCAATCCGGGGGCTGGAAATGGTCAGACAGCCACGTGGGGTAGTCAGAGTCAGGATGCTGTCCACCTGTGTGGTGAGGGCCTGAATGTCAGGCAGTCCACCTGCTGTATTGAATGTTTCTGCATCTTTGGGTGCAGTTTTCCTCTTGGACTGCAGGAGGGGCAGGTATAAAGGAAGATGAAAATAGGTGGCACAGCTGTTACTTTTGATGCATGTGACAAGGTGTCTTGAGCGAGTGAGTAGGCAGCATAGAGGGCACACAGGGTTAGTGTGTCAGGGCTTAGGATGAGTGAGAGCAAGTGAGAAAAGATCCTGCAGGCAATAGTGAGAGAGGTAGTACATGAGTCTTGGAGGGAAATGACAGAGAGAGTGAGCATGAGGTATTGGGGAAAGATGCTGGCACTTATTCTGGCAGAGTGGAGAAGGCCGTTGACCTTCTTCCCACCATGCTGGGTATTGCTCCAGACAGCTGAAAATACTGTAACTCAGGTGGCAACTCGAGGCTAGGCAGGCATAGTCTGGAAATTGCTGGAAAAGCTCAGCAGGTCTGGCAGCATCTGTGGAGAGAAATCAGAGTTAACGTTTCTGGTCAAGTGACTGCTCCTCAAAACTTGGGGGAGTTCTGAGGAAGGGTCACTCAACCTGAAATGTTAACTCAGAGAGAAACCAGAACATCCACAGTTCTTTTGGTTTTTATTTTGCATATCCTAGGTGGGTGGAAAAATGATCTTTGGCAGAGCCCAGCCTCTCCACGAACCCATCCTGTAGGAGCTCAGGACCTTGCACGCAAAGTGGGTGGCAATTTCCCCCATTAGCCATGTCTAAGGCAACTGTCAGGGACCATGCAAAGCAGCTCAGGACCGACAGTAATTGTCTGGGTGCACAATGGGCTTTTTAAAATGGTGTGGTGCAGGAGATGCCAGTTAATTCTGTATATCCCAGCAGTGGCAAACTGTTCCAGGAAGGCCACATGGTAGGATGGGGCTAGAATTGGATGGGAGGAATGCCATGGGGACGGGATAGATAGTTAAAGAGGTGGGTTTGGTAAGATGTTGAGAAAACGTGCTAGGCCTCACTGAGAAAACCCTCCAAAGTAACTTGTATTTGACAAGAAAAGCAACAGATTTGGTCCTAGGTGTAATTATTGATCACGCTCTAAAGATATCGGAGGCTGTTAGTCATATAGATAATTAAATTCTAGAAACATTGGAGGATAGTGGTTTATTTCAACCTTGTATAAAGTTTAGAATGTCTTATTTAGAATATTATGGGCAATTTTATGTCATTCTCGTACCTTCAAATAATATTGAATGGAGCAGAAAATATTCTCGAGCTAAGTTTTATTTGTGGTGGTTTCTACTTTAAAGGAGAAAGATAACGCATTTAGAGTACGCCAATGCCGTAAAGTGCATTAATGATGGTAAGTGTAACATTTTGAAGTTCATAGAATCCCTGCATTGTGGAAGCAGGCCATTCAGCCTGTCAAGTCCGCACTGACCGTCTGAAGACCATCCACCACATTGCCCCACCCCCCAATCTCTGTAATCCTGTATTTCCCATGGACATCCCGAGACACTATGGGCAATTTAGCATGGCCAATCTACCTAACCTGCACATCTCTGGACTGTGGGAGGAAACTGGAACACCTGGAGGAAACCCATGCAGACACGGGCAGAATATGCAAAACTCCGTACAGACTGTCGCCGGAGGGTGGAATCGTACCCAGGTCCCTGGTGCTGTGAAGCAGCAGTGCTTGCCACCATGCTGCCCAAAGTTGCCAGACTGTGGTACATGGAGCCAGTGAATGCCAGCAAAGAGAAAGGTCATTCAGTTTGTAACATAAGCTGTGGGTTGCAGAGTTCTGAAAAGGTTTCTGGAGGTGAAGTTGTGGAGGGACGAAAGTGATTGGACAACTTGAGTCTTAGGATGATAAATGCACACATTTGACAAGATGGAAAAACAGGATTTTCTGGATAAGATTGTAAGTATTCTTGGTAATAGACTGAATATTGGTTTTGAACACACATTGGATAAGACAGGACAACAAAGTATTGCACCTAAAGGTTCAGTTTGAACCAGAAACCATAGAACAAGACAGAATCAGTATAAGAGGTATAAATTTTCTAGTGTAGTTTGAACATGATAGCATTTGTGTTGTTGAAGAAATGGAGAAAATTCTGACTTCTCCAGGAGCTTGATGTCAATCTGGCATAATGTGTTCATACAATCAAAGGCAGCTATGGATAGGCAGAGCCATATCAGTCAGTGTGTTTAGCGGGAGTTCATTGTTAATCATGTCACCATGATTAATTCTATGGGTGGAATCTTATAGGGTTTGAACAAACAAATTGAAAAAAGAACTGTGGATGTTGGAGATTGGAAATGAAAACAGAAATTTAAGGAGCTGAGCAGGCTTGGCATCATCTGTGGGGAGAAAGCAAAGTTAATGTTTTGAGTCCAGTGACCCTTCATCTGAACAACATGGGCTATGGCATGTTGTGAGGCAGATTCTTGTGACATTTGCAGTAAAGTCCATCTCAAGGTCGGGACCAACTCACCATGGTTTTCACAAGCGGTGTGGTGAGATGCCTACTGACTGGGAGGACAACTTGTCAATGTCATGACTCACTTCAGTAAAATTCCCCATCTTGCAAAACTGTCCAAATGAGCTAGACATGGGTA